GAAAGAGGGGGGTGGAGGCAAGGTTTTCATTTAAATTGCTGCGAGCCATCTCCAATTATGACGGGCAAAAACAAAGCACAGACGTACATGTTAAATATAAAAAATATATTCAAATCTATGAAACAAAAAAGAACATGACATTCCATGCACAAGCGGGAGAGAACATAACTTGCGTCCCTCAAACTAACACACGCGTTCACAGAAACGAAACAGAAAGGGATTGTGTACTACTTTGGGTCATACAAGGGATTAAATAAAATAGCACACTGAAGTCAGAGTATATTCTGTCGAGAAATGATAGGGTTAATTAATTGCACAGCAAACTCTGAAAAATGCCAATGAAATTTGAAACATTGAAAAACAGTGACGTAACGCTCGTTCGCAAACTGCATGCACCCTTACAAAGAATTAATGAACACCAGTGGAAATAAAACAGATAAATGGCAATTAATTATTTTCATGATATTTTCCTCTTTTTGCACTTTTCAAAATTTCGAATGTCCTTTCCGACAATTTATCTCACAGACAACCCAGCAAATTCAGTTGCTATATAACATAAAAGAAATACTTTTACGACATGCTACATACTTTTAAAACCAGAATTTCCATTTTCTCTTCTTTCTGAAAATGCGTCTTATCTGATTTTTCCATTGGAGTTTTCAAATATTATACGAAAGTAACTTAAGTGGGGGTGGTAGGAGTGTGGTATCAAGTATGTTGGATTCGTTGTGACATTTATAGACACTTTCAGCAGAAATTGTCAGCTAGTTGCATGTTGAACTTCTAGGAAATGGGTACAAATGCATACGTCCTTTGTTTTAGTTTTGTTTTTCATTTCGGACAGAGTTTAAAGACACTTGCAATACAAATAAGAGCACAAATTGAACTTCTGTGCTCGTCAAAACGGAAGCCTAGGGATATCTTGGAAAAGGGGAGGGGGTGCAGGTCGGCTAAAAATAAAGTTACCAACAGAAGGCTACGAAATAAAATAAAAAAAGAAGCTCACACTCAAATCTGATGCCCACGAAATATTTACAAAATCTCTGAACCATTCATAACGTTTTTAGAGAGGCACCAAGCATTCATTGTCTAGATGCTGTTTAAGCCACACACACACACAAACCATCACACAATGTAGGTCAGAGATGTCAGAAACAAGAAAATGGCAGAGAGGGACAGAGAAGCGCCTGCGACGTAGATTTTCTTTCCAAACGTGCAACATAAAAATGGGAAAAGAAATGAAAAAGAAAAACAAAACAAAATTCAGACAAACCGACACAAAAAGCATGCACTCTCCAAAGTCTCTAAAGTAAAATGATATCCCACTCAGCTACAGAAGCGGCTCAAAAAGGTCAAACAGCCCCGTCACGTTGACCGTTGCAGGGGATAAAATAACTACACCCCTGGTCCCTAACAAAAATTAACTGACCAATACCTTCCAATAACGGCGGCAAAGATCTGGACCTGTCTTTCTCAAAGTCTGTTGGCGGAGAGCGAGAGAAGGTAGGCAGAAAGGTGAGTAAAAGCGTGCATCGATGACGATCATTATTATCACGATGGAGAAATGTACAAATTGTGAGCGAGTGTGAATTATGACACCTGTAGCCACTACACGTATAGTAACAGCCCGGTTATTGCAATTAAGTATCAAACAGGATTATCATAATTAATGAATAAAGAGAGTCTAGCTACAAGTATGGATGAAACAAGCGGCAGAAGATATTGGTCCAAATGTATCAACTCCAAATACATGTAACGATAAACTCCGAGTATTTATAGTAAGTTGCAGATTAGAAGCACCAGCAGCTAATTAAAGCAGTCGTGAAAATATCAAAATTGTAATATCTTTGTAGGAGTATCAGCCGCTACAAGCAGCGCTCTTTGCCCTGCTAGTTCGAGATCAGGACTTGATTTAGACTCCACTTCGTCCCATAATTAACGACAAATTGAAGGATTATAAAAGGCCTAACTTCAAAAGTAGCAGGAAAACCAAGTGAACCCCTTACTGATATGATCACCAAGACATGGTTCCTGTAAGCTTTGTCTGAAATAATACCAGCAGAAATGGCCTAGGAGCTGCACGTATCTGCATGCTATGCTTACAACTAGACAGTCCGGTTACACTAGTACCAATTAATTATTAAACAAACATATTTGGAGGGGGGGGGACCTGTAGTTACATTTACAGTGCTACACCACAGATGCCTGTTAGAGGGGTTTAAGATGCACAACATAGTAATATTGTAACAAAAGTTGCAGCTTTTTCTTCCACCCTTCTAAAATTCCAGCCTTTCGGCGATCTTTTTTTGGTCAAAATCGCCGCCTTTGAGTATCATTTTGTTCTCAGCATTAAGGAAATGTATAGCTGGAGGCTCCCTTCTTAAGATAGCTTAAATTGACCTTCGCCCATGACGTCAAGGCTAGCTCAGAGATGTTCACACATAGGGAGCCCGGAAGTGCGTAGTGGGTCAAATAACCGAGTAGAGACCTCCACTAGATCTTTCACCAATAAGTCTTTAAGTGAACTTAATAATGTTATGAGGCAGCGTGGTGGAATCGGGCTCTCGTCAAAATAATGAAATCGAAGAAAACAGCAGTTTTCTCCCTGTTTAGCAATTTTTTAAAATCAAATTTGTGTTTTTTTGGCTCAACCCCTTTTATGTCCATTTACAAACACATTCCTTTGAGGATTTCACGGAAAACGTTGATTAAACGCACAAAAAATAATAATTTATAGTTTCCATGGACTCTCCAGCTTTGGAATTTACCAAGCTTTGGCGGCCATTTTCTCACTAGTTTTACCTCTTAAACCCAGTGACCCCCACCTCCTTCAATCCAAAATATCTCCACTTCTCATTGAAGATGGATGGGTAATTTTTTCATTGAAAGCAAGACAAATGAATAAGCTGTAAGATGATACCAATAACTCAACATGCCCCAAAATTGACGAGAGCCTGATTCCACCACGCTGTGTCATTAATGTGTCTACGAATCACACAAATGTTTGGCTGTTTTGAGTGAAGAGGAGCACATCGACACAGAAAGGTCGTCTACCGCGAGCAAAATGAAATGACAAAAAATAAAGAAAAAAAAACCTAACAAGACTGATAGCCAGAAAGAGAGCAGAGGGAAAGTAAGATAGGAAGACTCCTTCAGTATTACCCTAAACTACACACTATAAGATGTTAAAAGAAAACTTCACTCCAAAATGCTGCAAAAAGAAAATACAATAACGAGAAAAAGAGACGAAGTAAAAAAAAAAAATAATGCAATTCTATGGTGCACAAGGAAGAACCCACTTTTGAGGGAGGGGTGTCCGTTATCAATGGTATCACCCATCTTCTTCAGCTGGTTTCTGCGCCATTCAGGACTGCGGCCGAGCAAGGCCAAACTTGCCAACTGTTGACCTAGATTCAGTCCATGAGAAAGATGAATTGGGTCAAACAATTCAAGAGTATGGGTAAAAAAAAGTATAGTCACCCCCCATCCATCCATCCATTTTGAACTGCTACACCAAGTGCACGACATCAGAGGTCACACCGTAAATGTCACAAGGAGGTTACAGCTGTGTTTTTTCTTACTGGACTAGGAAACAACGAGTGGAGGTCAACCCTATCCGTGCGTCGTGTTTACTATAGTATCCATACAACGTGGGGAACTCTGTCCCACCACTTTCCAAAGAGGACATTTACTTTTTAATCCGATCTGTACACTTTGCAAAGAAATCTGTCAAAATGATTTTTTGAGAAATACTGAAAGTTTCAAAGAGATCTTCGTATTAGAAGCATTCAAAAACGAGAAGAATACAACCCCGGGGGTACAAAATGACCCCAGAGCGAAACAGATAGGGTTAAAATTAAATGGTGTGATGAGCGAAAGCATTAAGGGAGGTTGGGGGGGGGCAATACCTTACCATTGTCGAAAAGGGTATGAGCTTACAAAAAGTCCCTAAAATGCAGTGCTAGTGTCGTTTCAAACGTCGAACTTGCGAATTTAAAATCATCTACAATCCATTGTGGCGTTGAGGCGTGAATTTTTAAAGAGCCCATAAACGTGTCGTAGAGGATTTGAACCAGGGTAATCCATAATGTAGTTCAGCTGGCTGGGTACAGTCTAAATAATTCACAGTTGAGATTGGTAAAGATATCAAGAGATGCTGACGCGAGATTTAAGCATTCTTTCAACTGATTTTAATTATATCTCTTTTCTGACTGTACTTCTACCTTTTCTATACAACAATGATTTCAGAGCTTTTCCTTTTTTATTTTAAATAAGTCGAATTGGGGACTGTTTCCGACTCAGAAGACAGAGACTACAATGTCATTCCCAATATGTCAGTTTTTAGTTGTTTACACTCAGAATGTATGCTCTAGGAATGGCGGCAAACTTTCGCCCACTCAGGTTCAAACGCCGACCCTCCGTTTGACTAGTTTCGTTCATGTTCAACTGCACGCACCATGACAGCCGCCGTATAAGGAAAGGGGGAGGGGGAGGGGGTGTTGCGCCAAAGATATTGAAAACATGGGCAAGCATGCATCATAGATATAATAAATAGTAATAAAACAAGATAAAAGACACTAACTGTTCAGTGAACACACAGTCATAATTAAAAACTTAACTTTACCTCTCTGAGCTCGATTCCTAAGTTGTACCCTACATCATTAATGTTTAATGTGCTGTAAATGAAAGGCATCCTAAAATAAAGGAAAACGCCAATGCATTCTTTTAATTTAACTTTTACTCATCTAAATAAGCTTGAACATTATTGACATTGTCTGTTTTCTCTACGCTTGTTCTAGGGGAAAACTGATTTTACATCTGTAAAATTGCGTTATCAGAACATAGATACTGAGATTACTTCATGCATATCAGAATATTTCGGAATGAAATGGTTTAGTAAAACTCATGTTCTGTGTTAAAATCAGAACTTGGTAAGGAAATGATTACATTTATTTTTACGTGCAAAACTTACAATCTTTCTTTTTTATTAGCCAAATGGAAATACTGAGCATTACGCGGGGTATTTTTTCTTGTGGGAGGGGGAGGGGGTGGTGTCGCAGACAAATGTTTGTTTTGTTAATATTTTATCTCCAATACAGTCTATAAGTCTTAAAAATATAAGCAAATTCTTTGAAAGTGGTCTTTTTATAGTTTAGTCACAAGTTCCAACTGTTTAATAATGTAAACACATCTAATGTATGCTTATTTTAACAAAAAATAACGCTATTCTTTAAATATTTAGAACATGTGAAAAAAATTATCTGTATTAAAAGACGACAAAAATGATATTTTAAAAACAAAAACTAAGACAAAAAGGTGACATTGTGCCTGATGTAACAAGTGGAAGAAATAATAATTAATGAAAGTAACTCAAGTGTCCGCGATACATTACATTTATACACAGTAAACAAACATCACAGCATGATAGATTGTTCTCATTATGAATGGTGTATATTAAGTAACAACAGAGAACAGGAAGATAAAGTTTGTTTGTTGGTGGTTGGCGGGTGCTCTGGTGTGGTTTGCTTCTTCTTTCCTATCAAACACCTATCGTCCTTATCTCCCCTCCTTCTTTTTTGTGTTTGTTTCTCTCTTGTAACACCTCTAATCTTCTGGCGCTCATATGACCTTATGCAGTTGCGAGCACTGTCGTTTATGTTTATATTCTGTGTATCCAGAGCTGTACTATACTGTGGTTGAGAGCAAAATCATGACGTTAGCAGGTGCGCATCTCACTTAAGCATCATATGGCGGCAAAAAAAAATTATCCGTTGCTGTCTTTAACTCAAAACAAATTTTTGTTAAACCTACAAATGTATAAAAGTTACCAAAGCCGCATCTGATCAGTCACTAAATCAATAACGAAATGGAAAGTACTTAACACCCTTTACCACATTAAAAAGTATACGGTTATGTAATCATATTACAGTTGTGGCATTCATATATCCGGGAGCATATAATAGTATTTGACAAATATAAAAAGGCATGCAAAACATGCATATTATATCAAACGACACAAAGGACGTGATCATAGTTCTGGGCGTGTCTGCTGATGTGATACAAAGGACGAGAGAAAGACAGTCAGAAAGAGAGAGAGAGAGAGAGAGAGAGAGAGAGAGAGAGAGAGAGAGAGAGAGAGAGAGAGAGAGAAAGAGAGAGAGAGAGGGAGCTGAGGTAGGGGGTCAAGAAAGAACAGGGGGAGGGGGACAACGAGAGAGAGTGTGTGTGTGTGTGAGAGAGAGAGAGAGAGAGAGAGAGAGAGAGAGAGAGAGAGAGAGAGAGAGAGAGAGAGAGAGAGAGAGGCACACAGAGGAAGAGAGTGACAAAGTAAGATATTATAGAGATATAGAGAGATAGACAGAAATAGAGACAAGAGACTGAGTCATGGAGAGACAGAGACAGAGAGGCAGAGACAGAGAGAGACACAGAGACAGAGACAAACACGGACACAGAGACAGAGGCACACACACACACACACACACACACACACACACACACACACACACACACACACACACACACACACACACACACACACAGGTACACACACGCACACACACACACACACACGGAGAGAGAGAGAGAGAGAGAGAGAGAGAGAGAGAGAGAGAGAGAGAGAGAGAGAGAGAGAGAGAGAGGCAGATAGACCGAAAGGCAGACAGACACACAGAGGCACAAAGACACATAGACACAGAGACACCGAGAGAGAGAGAGAGAGGCCTTTACATACAAAGCCCCTGGGTTTGTGAACAGACCTTGCAGAGATTTGGTGGCCTCCAGCGGCCGGTGACGGAAGCGGTCGACCGTCAGTTGACCTGTGTAGTTGTCTCGGACCACAGTCAGGTCGGAGGAACTCTGTGGACAACACCAACCGTTGGATAAACATTAACTCTCTAAGATAAACAAAACGGTGTCAAAACAAACTTCGTATATCAAATATACTTGTGGGCCCAAATAAAGTAAATCGTCATTCATATCACAATAATGTAGTACCAGTTCTTAAATAGACATTGGTGAGTATGGTTTTTCTTCTTTATCTTTTTTTAGATGCTCCCCAAAAGACCAATTATCCTGGTCAATTGTTTAGGCCTCCCAAGTAAAGGGATTCATATTTTGGTAATAATTTAAGCAGTATTAATGAAATAAAATCCTGTTTACAGTGTACCGGCGTTTGTAGTGTAGCTGTTATGTGCTCTGCTGTTGCACACAAAAGGCGTAAGTTCAATTCCCCTGTAGGTAGGATTACTATCGAGTATCTCTGTCGGTCTCCTGATATATTGTATCCTTCTAAGCCCAGGCTGCCCCGTACAGGCAGAATTGAAGCAGTCAGCCTCCTAAATAATCTACAGTGAACCGTGCTGACGTAAAACATTTATTACAATTACTATTTCTATATTTCCCAACATTAAACAACGTTATGCTTGTCCACATTCCTTTTCATTTTAAACACCACTAGAATTCAGTGGATGTACAGGGTGGAAATTATTAAATCAGCCGCACTTCTGGTAAAAACAGCGTATACAATGAATTAGCGCTAGCGAAACATAATCTATACATTTTATTATATTTGTTAAAGTTCGTCACTTTGGCGCCTAAAACTTCGAAACCATTTTAACTTTCGAATTTGACGAAATTAAGGGTGGTTCAGAATCATTTAAAGGGTGCACAGTTCTATTTAGCAGCCTGAAGTCACCATAGTTTAATGTTAAGTTTGTTATTAGTTTCGTTTATATCTAATCTTTGGAAAGTCCGTTTTCTAAGACGCCATTGTAAACAAGTGAGGTTTCTCTTCAATAGCCGTGCGCACTGTTTCCACACCTTGGAAATTCTGGAGTGTACAACCACGAAAGCGGAAGAGAGAATCAATCTATACATCACGATATCTAAACTAATCTAATGTTTTGCCTCTCTCGGGATTTATTGCTCCATTCCAGTAGAGTGTAAGTATAGTAGGCCAATGACTATCGGTTGATGTTAATGCACCGATCATTCCTTTCATCGAAAGGGGGCCCAGATAGTTAGGTATATCATTACAACGTCTGAGTACGAGGTCCTGTAATACTACCAAGGAACACACATTGACATAACTGTATTACATTTACAGGACAATGTACATACTACCATAATAGTCATTCTATCTTAAACAAAATAACATTGCAACGCAAAATGTTGATTAAATTTTTTGGCCTTTCTTTTTCATTAATTTAATTTAAAATCTGGGATTTAAAAGCACGGTACGTACGAGTTAATTTAAATGAAAAAAGAAAACTAAAGGAATTTTCAAAAGCCCGTTAATGTATAAAAGGTGGACTTTCCGAAGAAATTGCCTTTTTCTTTCGCATCTTTGACAAGGATAATAACAAGATAGTATTATTGCTATGATCTTATAGAGATTCAAAACAGAATAATGAGCACACAGACGTCTCAGCAACAGAAAGCGTTTTTCTTCTCCATAACCACAAGACTGAATATTGTTTCTTCTTGGAAGTTGGAAAATAATCGATAAAAGAACGTGCTTGAAAGAAATTCAACCCACAGGAAAAAGAACAAACAACCAAACGTCGTGCGAAACATACGTGCAGAAAATGTGTCTCAATAGAGAGGAAATACTGTCTTTGTGAGTGATGAACCGATCAGACTAACAGATGTAAAACGTGTGTGTGTGAGTGTGTGTGTGTGTGTGTGTGTGTGTGTGTGTGTGT